GAGCCCTCCGGCGAGTGGCCCACGAGACGGCTTGCCTGCTCTCAAGAAGCTTCCAGTCGGGGCGGGCGCGCCGGGGCGGTGGAGGGGCCGGCAGACAGGAAAAGAGTGTGATAACTTCGTGGCATTGTGTCATGGCTGCTGAGGAACCGTGGGGCGGGGGGGGCTGAGCTCGGGCCCCCAGAGGTGGAGCTGGGGTGGCCCTCGGGAGGTGAGGGCATTTCCCCGTGCCCCCGCGCGCGCGCGTCCCGGGGCTGGGGACCAGGTGAGGATACACTGCACTGGGGGACCGGCTTTAGCAACGAGCTGAGAAATAGTCGGGTACGGCCCGGGGTGGGGGGGTTGAAGCTGGAGAGGTGTCTGGGGCCACCCAGGCTTGGGAAATCCTTCCCGTTAGAGGAGTGGAGGAGAATGGAGGTCCTGCGCGGGTTTGGCGCTCAGGGAGCCCCCTGGAACAGAGAGGGTGGGCTAGGGCGGCATGAGCGGTGGTTTTCGCCCAGCACTCGGTGTCCCAGAGGCGGCTAACCGCTGTCCCTGTCTTCCCTCCCTCCTCGTGAGGATGGGGTGAAGAGTCCATGCTAGGGGGAGATGTTTCCCAAGAGAGGGGATGTTGAACAGCCAATGTGTCCACCTCCTCCCCTGCCCCGCCTGAGAGGGGCAGTCCTGCTCCCTTAGCATCGATGCTACTTCCTGGAACTGCAACTAGAAAGACTTCGGCCACACGTGGACTGGCTTCCCCCTCTGGGCGCTTCCTTCCCCACCCAAACTGGGAATCCGACCGGGAACTCCTGAGCAATGGCTCTTGCTGATAAAAATCAGCGAGACAGGCAAGCATCCTAAGGTCCTCACCGGGACCCTGGGCTCCAGCTGCAGGTTGAGCATTTATTTGACCTTCGGGAGATCATTTTATGCCCCTCCCCTTATGAGGACGCTGAGGCTTAGTGCTCAGTTGGTAAACCTGGAACAATGTAGAGAAGACTAGCGTGAACCTTGTGCAAGGATGGCACCTGCAAATCCGTGAAAATAAGCCAAGGACACATCACACAAAAGAGATCTAAACCTCAGCCCAGGGCTCTGACCCCCAAGTCCAG